TAATTGAATAAATGTGAAGTAAAGCTACATTTTATTTCATCCAGTTTTGTTCTCATAATTATTGACAAATCCCAATATAGTGTCTTTGTTTTAGCACTGGGAGATATCATGATAGACTGAATCCTGATGCATACTGTATCACCAGATTCATGGTAATACACAGCCCTGAGTTTAGACCTGGTTTGGTGCAGCTTCAGTCCTGCTGTTAAAGCTGTGCAATTAATAATAATAGATTAATAAGATTGAGATTGAGTCATTTCTAATCATCAGTGATCAGCAAGTTGGGACTAAGTCTATGTGGGAAAAATGTTACTTTGTTTTATGTTAAAGGTGCATTGTATACCGTATTTTCCGGACTATAGGGGCGCTCTTAAGCCTCCAACCCAATCAAAAATGACGCCCCACAATCCACTCGGGTGTTCCAGCATGACTTCAGTAAACTACAAAGCCGCACCACCCGGAGCAGACAGCGACCGCACAGTGAAATACACCCACAGACACACTCATCACTCCACGCCGACGAGGAACGGAACTGAGGAATGAACCGAAAAAGCAAGTGCAATGTGTCACTTCTAGATACAACTGAACAACTGAGCGGTCCCAGACAGCACCCTCCCTACACGCCACAACTGAACAAAGCCCAGAGTCACCGTGAACGCCACAAAAAAAACCACTCACCCATCCAACTGTTGTTTCCTTTAAAGTCCGGTGCGGTTTATTTGTGAAAAAAGCTCAAAAATAGACCATTTAATGACAGTGCGCCTTATAATCCAGAGTGACTAATAGTGCAGAAAATACGGTATCTTTTCTGGTGAAGGGTCCGTCAAATGCTTTTCTCTGTGGAAACTCCGTGAAGAAACATTTCTATCTTCATGGAGACCAAACCAGACCAAGTCACAGGTCAGATCTGTGGAGAGTAGGGGTGTAACGATATCTAAGTCTCACGATACGATATTGTCACAGAATGAACCTCATGGTACGATATTTATTGCAATATTGTGGGAAAGCTCACGATATGACGATATTCTACATAATAACAAGAATGTAAAAAATGTAAAAAACATAACTTCATGTTGTCTGCACTGAAATGCATCATGGGATATGTAGTTCTCTAGGTTTTTTAGCTGTTGCTACTATAAAACCATGTATTTAAGCTAATTAACTTGTGATTCTATATATTGTGACAGCCCACGATATTATTGTGAGACTTCTGACGATACGATATCACGATATTTTGGTTATTGTTACATTCCTAGTGGAGAAGCAACCTCGCTCATAGTCAGAATGTCTGTTTTTCTAGGTATTTTTGAGCTATAAAACCACCTGGAATTGAATAAATGTACAGAAGACCGTTTTAATGTCACACTGTGGAACATTCCAGACAAAGCAATAACATCTCCATGGAGAAAAGCATTTGACGGACCCTCCAACAGAAAAGTGACACAGTGCACCTTGAAAATATGAACTTGAATTAATAATTAAAACATAAATTGCAAGTTAATCCCAATGCTTTTCAGAAACGTGGGTCTTTCTGATCAGGTATGACACGTGTTGGCTGCAGCGCTGGGCTTGGGGCCTGTCTGGTGTTTGTGGGTCAGCTGTGTTCAGTCACATTTAGGTCACAGACTGCAGAGACAGAGCTGCTCATTTGAGTCATGAGTTTCAACACAGACACAAAAACAACAGCGGAAAAGAAAAGAGAGGTTAAAACTGGCACCGATACGGCCAATCCATGGGTTTCAGCGCGAGAGAGAGAAAAATTGGGACTGTTGCCATGGCAGTTAAAAAAAATGACATCTATGTTTCAACCGTCCTCAAAATGGCACCATAAAAGAGGAAGCTGAAACCAATGAATACAACGAATACAAGAAATACTCAGAAAAATTTGCATTGTGTCACTTTTCTGGTGGAGGGTCCATGCTGTGAAACGCTTTTCTCCATGGAGACCTTAATGCTTTGTCTGGAATGTTTCACAGTGTGGCATTAAAGCTTTCTATCTTCATGAAGACTAGGGCTTCATTAAGAATTTGCAGATACGATACATACCTCGATACATAGACGACGATATGATACATACCTCGATACATAGACCACGATATGATACATACCTCGATACATAGGCTACGATATGATACATACCTCGATACATAGGCCACGATATGATACATACCTCGATACATAGGCCACGATATGATACATACCTCGATACATAGGCCACGATATGATACATACCTCGATACATAGGCCACGATGTGATACATACCTCGATACATAGGCCACGATATGATACATACCTCGATACATAGGCCACGATGTGATACATACCTCGATACATAGGCCACGATATGATACATACCTCGATACATAGGCCACGATGTGATACATATCTCGATACATAGGCCACGATATGATACATACCTAGATACATAGGCCACGATGTGATACATATCTCGATACAGTGCACTTTCGATTCAATACGATATATTTCAAATCGATTCGATACAGTTCAATAAAAATAAAGGCTAAATCATGTCTGTGATACTAAAAGTCTTTGTTAAACCACTTTTTGTGCAAAGTTCATATGAAACACAAACATTTTAATCCTCAAAACAGTGAAAATGTCAAATAAAAAAGTTTCCTTCCTCTAAACAAGTACCAAAAGCTGTAGCTGTAACAAAATAATTTAGTAAAATATACCAAAAAATACTCTTGGTGATATATCGATTCAGCAGCCCACGATATCTATACTGTATCATCACATTAAGCGATATGATATATCGATATTTCAATATTTTTGCACACCCCTAATGAAGACCAAACCAGACAAGTTAAAAGGCCAGATCTGTGGAGAGGAGACCCCACTCACAGTCAGAGTAGCAGTTTTTCGAGGTATTTTTGAGCTCTAAAACCACCTGTAATTGCATAAATGTAAAGTAGAGCTGTTTAATGTCACACTGTGGAATATTCCAGACACAGCAGTGACGTATCCGTAGAAACAAGCAGGTGAGGTGATGGACACTCCTGTAGAAAAGTTACAAAATGCACCGATTCTTCTTCTAACAATACGTGCTATAGTTTATTTAGTGATTCAACTTCCTCTTTATTCACCGTGTCTGTGAAAACAAAAGGTAACAACAGGTCAACAGACTGGATTCAATCTATCCATGTGACCAGAAAAAAAAAAAAGGGACTGTTGCCATGGTAATTAAAAAACTGAAATCAAACGTTAGATCTTTTGAAGAGTCAAGGGTCCCCAAAGTGGCAACAGGAAGATAAAACACATGATTATAACCCATCCAAGCAAAGATGTTGTGATTTGTATGTGACTTTTACGTAATGGTTCAATGATTCAACCCCATTATAAACGTATTATGTTCTATACCGCTGCCTCGTCACATGTTCTGCTTTAGGCCAGGTTTGGGGCAGCCGGTACTGACGAAAATTAATGTCGTTCTTAATGTTTTGACAATCACGTTGACAAAATCCAGACGATATTGATCCTTAATAGCTGATGTCATCAATATTCTCTGGTTTGGTCTGGTTTATTTTAACACAATCTGACCGTACAGAGCTGGTTTATTTGGAGCTGTAACATGTTTAGTTTTCAGACTATGTTAAAGGTTATTTGACAGGGATTGCTACGTGCCTGTAACATGATGATTGAAGGTTCGAGTACGGCACAAAACCGGATTGAATACTAAACCACAAAACCACAGAAAAATAACTTTGATTGGGTGATTGCACTGCAAGTTTCTGTTTCAATATTTCAATATATTTTCTGACATCAAAATTAAAAAGGTACAGTAGTAGTAGTACCTAGTAGTAGTAGCATGATTCCATGAAAATAGAAGGTTAAAACCATACTTTGGTCTCCATTATCAAGGAGACAGATAAGTTTTGATATCATACTGACGAAAATTATAGCCAAAACAACATTTCCACGAAAACAAGCTTCCAGCGGGCTAAATAAGAGTCAGGTTTGGGGAAATGCAAGCTTGTTTTTCAGTGCAATAAACCAAACAAACAAGAAAAGAAAAAAAGGAAACCACATGCTTGAACTTTAATCCATATCTTGGCTAAAGGTTACATACTGTGGCTTTAAATAACAGAATAAAGTCTGTAATAATAATGGCACAATATCAAAAGTCTCACAGTATATACAAACTGCCTCACCTAAAAGCACATTAAAATCACAATGGAAACTACACTGACCATAATCCTTTGCTCAATATCATAAACAATATACATGACATTAAAACTGTATACTTGTATCTTTTATAAAATAACCACAAAGGTTTGTCAGGAAGGAAAACTATGGATTTTGAGAATACAGTTTACATGTATAGATTTTAAGCAGAACAAGCGTATTATAGTTGGTGTATTTGGGCGTTTCATCTGTTATATAAGTCTTAAATTGTAAATACATGGGATTAGTAACAGAATTGCGACACAAAAACAGCGGATTTATGTTGAAAACCTCAGACCGGAAACCCCATTTGTTTGGCTGTCTATGCTTTAACCTGGAGTCACGCGGGGGCGGGACGAGCATGCCCATATTTGGACACTGAACGGCTGAAGGTGATGATTGACAGCTGGAAGCAGCCAATGGGAGGACGGGACATAAACTACTGTTGCCTGCCAGAAAGAACAGGCAGACCAGAGTTTTGTTCAATTTTGGGCCTAAATAAAAGCGATATAATTCAAACAACGAATAAGTTAAAATTCTATGGCAAAGTTAAGAGTTTAATCTATAGTTTTAATCCAAGTAAGGTGTTATAAATGTGAGGGAAACTTCAGTTTGGGCGTGTTTAGCCAGGAGGATATGCTTGTTTACGGTTTACAGACACAAAAGTACAAAATCAATCAAGGAAGACAGAGGGACCATTGACAAAAACACCCCAAATGTTACTTAAAACTTAACAGTAGACTTTGATTGAGTTAAATATCAAGTTATAAAGTTATACAGATAGATAAAGGTGATAAAAACGGCTTGTACTTACACTTTCCGTCGATTTTTCGTTCACAGTTGGCAAAGGGGTTTTGGTTGACATCCTGCCCCGGGTTATTTTTACTACTTTAGATCCCAAAAACCGACACAAACTCCACCGACTCTTCGTTAAGTCCGACAGCCGAAAAATGAAAGGTTTGTCCGGGTAGACGGTCTCGGCATGGACCGTGACAATCTCCAAAGCAGTGGACCCGGTGTTAGAACAAAAAGTGCTCCCCAGTAGAAAATAACATCCCTTTTGCTCCAAGCTGTGAAAACCTGCAAAAATGTAAGACAAATTAGTCATGGGACTACAAGACACAATTAATTTAAGTAACACATGAAAGCAGTTTTGAATATTTTGTTGAAAACTTAAAAGTAAACGCAAACAAAATCCAAGAATCTAAAATATGCATACTTTCTATACGTGATAGCCATTTTAGACAGGATATCCTGACGTGGGACTAAATTAACATAAAACACAAATAAATTAGGTGTAAGCAAATATTTTCAATTGTAAAAAAATATCATAAAACAAGTCAAAACTGGCAGAACGTGGAGTGAAAAGGGGTATCTAGTGAAGATGTGCAAAGGGTGCAAAATTCGGCAAAACACCGAACGTGTTTCAGCCGAATTTACCAACTGTTAGCGCCCAAAATTGTACAGATTTAAAACATAAGCCGATTTAAAGTGGTGAAATGTTTAGAATGTGAATAGACGATTTATTACCTTATTTAAGAGCGGTAAAAATCACTGTCCGTCTCTCTATCCGGGCTTGAGAACTACGGTAAAGGCGGACTAGTTAATGTCTCTCGGTGACCACTTCCCAACGAAAATCGCTCCAAAGTGGGTCCAAAAACATATCCAGACGCGCGGGATGAGGTACCGGAGCTGGCTAAGGGGGTTCAAAGGAGGACAGAGGCCGAATCGGAGGTCCACAGCTCGGTTTGGTCCATCTCTGGGGGGCCGAAGAGGGGCTTCTGTGTCGGGGCTAGGTGGGACCAAAATGGCCGCTCGGTGCTGGGACTGGATTAGGCCGTGTTCATGGACTCACAGCAGCGTAGGACAAAAGAACATCACGACCACAACATGAAAAAAGATCACGAAAAAACTGTTGTTCAAATAAAACAATATGATATGAAACGAATATGTATTTGTTCTAAACAGAATTAGAGACATAGTTGATGCGAATAATACTTCCAGAAGCAAAAATATCAAAGTTATGTAAAAGAAACTCATTGATAGAACTGTTATGTACTATTATTTTCATCGTGAATTAAAAACACTGTGAGAAAGAGTGTTCAGTAGTGCACATCTTTGACAATGCTCGCCCCTCTTAGTCTAAATTTACCCGACAAAACAAGATGAGCAATAATATGCATATTACAAATGACAAATTTTGCAGGTTGTGTTGTCATGAAATTATTTTTCAAACAAGAATTTTCTGTGCCATCTTGTATAAATCTGCAGGGAACACTGATTCATCTGCAGATCCATCCATTTTCTTCCACTTATCCGGGGCTGGATTGCAGGGGCAGCAGTCTAAGCAGGGACTCCCAGACTTCCTTCACCCTGGACACTTCCTCCAGCTCCTCCCAAGCCAGACGAGAGACATAATCCCTCCAGTCTGTCCTGGGTCTTCCTAGGGGCCTCATCCCTGCTCAACATGCTCGGAGCACCTCCCGAGGAAATTGTCCAGGAGACATCAGAACAGATGCTCGAGCCAGCTCAGCTGCTTCTCTCAATATGGAGGAGCAGCGGTTCTACTCCGAGCTCTTCCCGTGTGGTCATCTGCAGATAGCATCACAAAATCACTTTCAAATCATAGGCTGTTATTTAATGTGTCAATATAGTTTAATGTTACAAATCTGCCAATGAAAGTCTGTGATCATTTTGGCTTAAATTTACTTGTCTGAGTAAATTGTCACGGTGATAATATTTGTATTACCATAGGTCTGCCCTCTCACACAACTCTGTAAAACTTTGGTTTAATAATGTGGTGGTTTATTCATTTCAAACATTATTACAGATGAGTTGATTTTATAATAAATATCTATAAATATCTTTGTGGCACAGTTTGTTGGTTTTAAATAGTTTGTTTAACCTAATTTTATGGACATTTTAGACAAACTGCACCCCATAATGTCAGTGTGTACGTGTGTGTGTGTGTGTGTGTGTGTGTGTGTGTGCGTGCGTGCGTGCGTGTGTGTGTGTGTGAGATTACAACACAATCCAACACAAACTCAGACAATAGATTTTCACATTGAATTCAAAAGGCATTGCTTTCAAGAATGCAACATTTTCCATTTAAAATACACTACGCTGTGAAACAATAATCCAAATGAATTAGTGAATAAGCAATGAAATAACTTTTTAATCAAGAGAGAGAGAAAGCACAATTATTTCCTACAGTCCTTGAAGTGTGAGGCCAGCTGAGCTCTGTGTCCTGAGACAGAGAAAGAGAGAGAAAAGAGAGAGAGAGAAAGAGAGAGAGGGAATGGGAGAAAGAGGAGGGAGAAAGAGGGAGAAGAGATAAAGAACAGATCTAGAGAAAGCAAAGGGATAGGGGACAGGACCAGGGACGGGAGAAAGTGTGGAAAGTTAGAAGAGGGAGGTAGAAAGAGAGAGATGCAGACAAAAGAAAAGAAGTGAATAGGTGAGAGAGTGGAGGGAGAGAGAGAAACAAAGAGGAAAGAGAATGAAACAGAAGAGGATGGAGATAACAGGGGAAAAAGAGGCAGAATAAGGAAAGAGGGTGCAGAATAGTGAAAAGTGAGATGCAGGAGAGTGAAAGAGAGATAAGGAGAGAGAGAGAGGAAGCAGAATAGGAGTGATAAAAATGATAGAGATGCAGAGAAAGAGAGAAAGGAAACATGGAGAACTAAGGAGAGGGAGAGCAGAGGGGAAACAGAATGATAGAGGGACCAGAAATAACCTCACAGATGTTGCATTTGGAGTTTTAAACCTCATTAAAGTGCAGTTTGACTGATTTCAAATGGCTAAATCCTCTTCTGTCCGTCTGTGGTGCCTTTTAAAACGAGAATATTAGGTAACACTAAGTCTGTGTTTTAATTTAAATGTAAGTATTTGCTGAGACTATTACTGAAACTTAGAAAAAATATCCAATGTAATAGAATTTATAAAGTGAATCAAAAGCACTGACTTCTACTGCTGGGAAAACAATCTCAGCATTTGTTCAAATCAATAAAAAATAAAAATAGTTTACTGTACAAGTGCTACTATTTATACAAATGTGGAATTCAGGGCTGTGGCTGACTTCCACTGATTGCAGACAGATGGCGCTACACACTCAAAAATCCTTGTAAAAGTAGATTTGGAGGTTGTCAACAATTTATCTAGACTTTATCTTTAAATAAATGATCACACTGCTAAACATCAGTGGACTATAGTGTAATTTTCATCTCATTTTCATTTTATCAGTTGTAGTCACAGTTTCATTAATATAAAGCAAAAAACATTTTAAATTATGCATCAAGCTTATTCTTTTGACTATTGTGTTCATTGTGTCTCATTTTCCTCATCTTTTCTAAATCAAGGAGAGCTGCAAGAAACTCAAATGATAAAATCAACAAAAGTCACTTGTAGACTTTCTCAAAGTGAGGAGAGTAACCAAAAAAGTAAGAGTACAATTTCATGTACAATATGTGTGCAGCATCAGATATTCACAAAGTGGAAGTAGTAGAAGGAAAAGTATAGAGTCTCAAAATGACTAAATCTTCATTAAAAAAAAAAGTAAAATTTTATGTAAATGTGACATTACTACCCACCTGTTTACTACCAGAGGTGATAGTGGTCAGAAAGTGTGTTCAGGAGTAAAGTTAGTTCAAAGTAGGAGTAGAAAGTCCAAGGAAATTACTTCAAATAGTTCTTTTTTTTCCTTAAGTTTTCAAGAGCAGCCGTGTCCAACATCCCTTTATCTGAAGCACTCACCTTATCTCCGACTTTTAAGAGTAAAAAGTATTTGGGAAAAGGTCTACTCAAGTTAGAGAAATAGAAAAAGTAACTGTTGGGACGCAACATCTGATTTATAATTTGAAGTTAATGTAATGTCAAGGACCAAACAATATTTAAAAAAAATGTTATTTTTAAAAGGACAGACAGAAAAATGAGACAAACTAAATCAGATCTGAAGCAGCAGATCAAAAAACACAAATGTTCAAATTATTTCATATTAAAGATTTTTCATAAAGCTTTAGACTTTAGACTTACTCGCAGTTGGAAGAGGAACAGCTTTTACTCAAGAGTACTGCTACTTCAGTTAAAAATATATATACATATATTACTCAAGTAGGAGTAAAAGTATCCTGCTAGAAAAGTACTCTGAAAAGTGCAATTTCTTTTAAAAGTTACTGAAATAAAACTAAGAGTACTACCTTCCTCTGCTATTATTTCCCTATTATCTTTGAGACTAGATTGACAAAAGTTGGCCGAGGCGTGTCGTGGATAGCAAAACATTCATCTTTTATTGTACTGGAAAAATATAGGGACCAAAAAAGCAAAAAAACAAAAGAACAATGTGCATTTTCAAATGATCTCCCAAAAACACGCCCATGATTAAAACCCCAACACTTCAATTTATCAAACTCATTATCATCAATAAATCTGAACACAGTCAGTGAGCAGCAGGTGAAGCGCTAACGTTAGGTCATGCCACGAGCGGAGAGGAGGATTCTGGGTAAAAGAGGCGAGGGAGAGGGGGATTGTGGGTAAATGGGAGTTAAAGGACAAGGAAGAGGAGGAGAGAAAGGGAAGGCGTTTAATATAAGGTTTCATTTACAGAGCGGTTTAAACAGAAGCAATATTTAAATGGCGTCGATGTCGATGTCGTCCTCTTCTTTCTCTTGAGTCACAGCTTTCACTGTTTCCACTTTGAGCTCTCGAGCAGAGGACGAGTACACCACCTGCAGGACAGGGGAGGAATTACAGGTTACAACTTAATTCACATACAAAACTTTTCTGTATAAATGAGTTTCAGAATGATCTAGAATAAGCAAACCATTAATTTAGTCCAGTGGTCAAAATTTAAATTTAGTTTTTCTACGCAAATATCTGTCATAGTATTATTTATTTTGAAGGTCATATGTAGTTCATTTGCATGTATCGATATGTACACTGCACTCACATGTCATTGCAAGGGTTCTACACATTTCTGCATGTTTTTGTTTTTTTTCTTCAGTGGGTGCTCAAAAACCCCACATGAAACATGCGTCTCTCATGTGCTCCCTTCTGTAGCAGCTCGAGTCTGTCACTACTCTCACTGCTTGTGAATGTGACTCCCTCACATCCTCGTCTCACTTTCTCTGGTGTCCTCTGCCTGTCCCACATTTGGGGTTTGGCTCATGTATGAAGTGTTCATTTAGACCTCTAGGCTATTAACATAAAAATGTTCTTGACAACCACTACTGACTTTATTATGAATCTACACCTAAACCTTCTGTATGTTTTTACCTCTACGTTCTCGTCGTCCTCCTCGTCTTCCGCCTCGCTGCCTTCGCTCTCCTCCTCTGCCTCTTTCAGCCACTTCACAAACGGAGCCGCTTTAGCATGGATCTCTTTGGCTAGTTCCTTAGAGACATACTTCTTAGAGACCTGCAAGAAATAATATTATAGGAATGGTTAAAGTGGATCTAAAGACCAAATCAAACTTTTTGCTCCAAAATTCAGTATATGGAGTTTTAACAGCACTTTCTACTGTTCCCCGTTTGGCCATTTTAATGCAAACTAGGTACATTTGCAGCTTTCTGATTGTAAAACATAAAATTGTCCTTGGCAGTTAGATTTGTGATTCATGTTTTAATCTAAGGATTCTGTAAGTTCATATTTTTAATTGACAGAATTTTATTGAATTGATTGAATTGACAGAAAGACTGAAATATGACCTGACAGAGTAATACATGTTAAACTGTAAAAAGACAATTTGTTGTTTGTGGAGGAAACTATTGTACTTCATAAACTGCAGCTTTTGTCAGTCAACTACCTCCATTCAAATCGTTT